TGAGCTCCAGGGACACGTGGTCTCTCTCTTGCCTGTTTGTGCTGGGCACCTTGTATCTCTGGTCTTTGGCATGCTGCTGCATTGCTGCTAGCCTGGATGAGAGGGAAGGATGCTGGCCAGAATACCGGCATCTTTGCCTTTGGCCGAGGGCAGGATTCCTCTACAGCTCTTGTTCCAGGCTTCCTGTCTCCCTCTGACCTGGAACTGGTGGTGGATCACCTCATCCGTCTTGCTCTGCGTGAGGAGGATTCCCAGAGCAGGTGAGGGACGGGGTGGCACCACTGCAGTCACCCACGCTCTGAGGAGAGGAACAGAGCCTGGCTTTGCTGCAGAGAGGGGCTGTACTCTGGGGGAAGGCACAGGAACTGTCTGAACTAAAAGACCATGTGGGTATAAGAGCAAAGGGATAAACCAGGTGATTTATGGGCTAGAAATTAGAAAGTCTGGGCCTGTCAAAGTAGGGTATTTGGCTCTGCCTGCCAGTAGGGTGAAAAAGGCAGATTGCTGAAAAATGGGGTTCTGGAGGCACCTTCTGGCCCAGATCTGTGCAGCTGGTGTACAAGGAGCCCCAGGTTTGCAGTGCTCACATCACCCCTCCCACTCTTTTCACCCCTGGCAGCGAAGCAGCAATGGAGGCAGCAGGATCTCTGGCCCCCATCTACCCAAAGGTTTTCTCTGGACACATGGTACCCAGGCTTGAAGAGGAGCTGCAGTCAGGTAGGGCTGGTGGCCTTGGGAAGGGAGTGATGTCTGGTTTTGGGGTGAAGCTTGTCCCATCCCCGTTCAGTTCTGACCAGGCAGTGGGGCTGTGCCATATGGTGTAGGTTGGTGGCTCTCCTTGGGGGATTCCCAGCGCAGGCACCGTGGTGCTGGCACAGGGAAGACCGTGCCTGGTGCTGGCAACCAGTCTGTTCGGCCAGGATCACCCTTGTGGGGAGGAGCCACCCAGACACACAGCAGGCAGAGGTCCCTGGGCCTGGCATGGGCTAGTTCTGCTGTGCTGCTTCACCTCGTCCACCCTGACAGGGTCTGGGCCCTGAATGTTCTTGGGCGAGGGGGCCTGGGGTCACCCCAGCACCCCTCTGAGGTGTGTTTCCTCTTCAGAGCGGGAGGAGGAGAGCTCCCGTGACCACTGCTTCCTGCAGCAACGCTGCCTGCAGGCCCTGGCAGCCGTGTCCACCCACACCAGCATCGTGAGGGAGACTGTCCCTGTCCTGCTGCAGCATCTCCGAAAGGTGCAGAAAGGTAATGCACCCCACAGCAGACAGTGTGTTTGGGCAGGAGCTGCCTCCGTTACTGGTTATGGCTGGGGGAGAGCGGGGATGGCAGTGGTGCGAGGAGCCCAGGGCTGGGCTGTGAATCCCGCCACTGGAGGGTGGGAGGTAGGGAATCCCGGTGCAGATCAGGGGGGTGGCTGCTGCGGCTGTTTGATGTGACAGTGACTATGCCCTGCAGGGAGCGAGGCCAGGAACGCCCAGGATGTGGTCTCTGTGTGCCAGAGCCTGCACCGCGTGGCCCTGCAGTGCCAGCAGGACGCAGAAGGCTGCTGGTACTACCACCAGACGGTGGTGCCCTGCCTGCTGGCCATGGCTGTGCAGGCTGCCATGCAAGGTAGGTGCGGGGCTGGAGCGGGAGGGTGGAGAAGCGGGCAGCTCCCCGGGCTCCCTCACCCTGCAGCCAGCGCTGCTGCTGCCGTCCGCCAGCAACCGTGGGCACTGCAGGCACCGCTGCCCCCTGCCAGAGGGAGAGCAGCCCTGCCCCAGGGCTGGTGTGGGTCAGGGGGCTGTTGCTGCCTCCTCCCTCTGGGCAGAGGACTCTAACGTGTCCCTTTCTTCCCGCTGCCTGCAGAGAGCACCCACCCACTGCTGGGCAAGGCACTGCTGGAGGAGGAGGTGCTGGCCGCCATGGTCCCAGTCATCAGTGCTGCCACCACTCACCTGAGCCCTGAGTGAGTGATGCTGGGGTGGGACACCAGGCACTGCATTGTGGGGAGGGGGCAGGTGCCCTGTAATTCTGTGGTGACGCTCCCAGAGTAGCATATTGTGATGCCTCCTTTCTCCTAGGCTGGCTGCCCAGAGTGTGTCTCATGTGGTGCCCCTCTTCCTGGATGGAGAGATCTCCTTCCTGCCCCAGAACAGTTTTCCCTGCTCCTTCCAGCCTTTCGAGGTGTGTTGGGTGGTTTGGGCTGGGGTGCCAGAACAAGGGCAGGGAATGAGGATGTTGGCACAGGCTGGCATCAAGGACCATGATGACGTGTGCGCTGTTCTTCCCTTGCAGGATGGGGAGTGCTTGGAGGCACAGAGACGCCTGGTTGCCCTCCTCATGGCCTTTGTCTGCTCCTTACCCCGCAACGTAAGTTGGTGAGGAGCAGGGTGGAGAGGAGCCCTGACTGAGCACCCTCCTGCCTGGGTCCACAGCAAGCTCCATGGGCTGAGGAAGGGAGCAGCTGCAGCCCCAGGCTGTAAAACACTCTGTGTCTATTCCAGGTAGCAATTCCTCAGCAAGAACGGCTGCTCCGGGAGCTGCTGGCTTTAAGCTGCTCCTGCAACTGCCCTTTCACATCCACCACAGCTGCCAAGTGCTTTGCGGGGCTGGTCAACAAGCACCCAGCAGGTAAGGGGGCTGGGCAGGACGCTGTGGGTCGCTGCCCACTGCTGGCAGGAGAACGGCTCAGCCCATCCTTTCTGTGTCTTCAGGGCAGCAGCTGGATGAGATCCTGCAGCTTGCAGTGAACAGGATGGAGTCCGGCCTTGCGGAGGGGCCACGCCGAACGCAGGCACTCACCCTGCTGCTCTGGGTAAGGCCTGCCCTGGGTGCGGGAGAGGGGGAGAACCGTGGGGATGCCAGCCTGGTTTTAACTCTGCTCTGCCTGCACAGGTGACCAAAGCCCTGGTGCTGCGCTACCATCCCCTGAGCTCCCGCCTGACGGACAAGGTAGGTGGCAGTGGGGCTGGGTGATGTCTGAGGAGCCTGCCCGCTGCCACCGCAGCCGGCTGGGAACCCCCGGCAGCAGGACACCCCATCTCAGGGCTCTCTCCCTCACAGCTGCTGGACCTGCTTGGCGACACAGAGCTGGGCCCCGGCGCAGCCCA